TTTGTTTTGTATCTGTGCTCTATTGCTGTGTGATTATTGTTTGCCTTCAATTTTTCATTCTTAATTTGTAAAACACCAAATAACTATCTTTTGAAATGCTATGATGATTGTCTTGCACCACCAAACTAAAACTAAAATAAGATTCAACTGACCTGGAAGTTTAGACTGTAAAAAAGTTTGGAGATGAGTGTGAGGGAGGAGAAAAGGATCTTCAAGGCATTGACGTCTGTGGCGCGAGTCTGACACAGCTCAATTGTAGCCTACAGGAAAGAAGGTAGAAAATGAACTTTTAATACTTATTCACGTTAGAACATTATCATTGGTTAAATCAAACAAACGTATTATTATAAAAACTGGTGTAGTGATAGTCTTAACCAACCTTGAACAGTTCTGTCAGAGGTAGAGCAAATGTGTCCAGCACTAGTTTTATCTCTGTCCACAGCTCATTTGATTTGAACTCATGGCGGTACCTTTAAAAGCAAAAGAGAAAACAATTGAGATTTTCTGTATTAAGTTGATTAAAACTGCTTTGAACCAGTAAACAGTGCGCTCTACCTCTTGAAGAGTGAATGTGCCGTGCGAAGCACTCCATTAATGATGTGAAAGTCTCCACTTCTGAAGCGGTTCACCATCTCAGTTAGAAGGTCAGGCCATTTTTGAGGGAAATCTTCCCTGCCTATGATACTGATGGCATCACTCAACTGTGGAGATAAATAATGGTTTATGGTTTAGCATCTTTATGAAATTTAAATCAGACACTTTCACACACTGAAATATGTGAGGACGAACCTGTTTTTGAATCTGTTCCGGGCTGCTGAGCATCAAGTTTACAATGTTTGCTTTGATCGCTGTTCGGTCTGGATCCGAGATTTTGTTTGGTTCATCTTCAACCTTCAGGGAAACAAACAAATCAATTTGTAGGATAATCAACTTTGTGTAAAAGGCTAATGCAGCAAAGATTATTCACAAATACAGTAAAAATATTTCTTTATAAAACAATTGGTGGTACAAACTGTCAAGTAGAACTAACTTTGTGATGGACTAAAATGCATCACCAGTAACAGTCATATAAAAGCCCACTGCTATGAATCAACACCTTCGATAAAAAACAGAACAGACAGCTTGAAACAAAAACAGGAGTGTACAGATGTTTACAATTGTGTGTATGTAAAGTGAGTGTGGCTGAAAAGCATCCCTAGAAATACTAAGGGACTAGGGATGTTGGGATTAACCGGTTTTACGATTTCATAACCGTAATAATTGTAAAAACAAAGATATCTAACTATGGTGTCCTGCCTCTCGCAAGTCACGTTTTGTGTGTGCGAGCCACTGAAATGTTTGTTGAGAAGAGGGGACTGACTTAACGGCCTTATTTCCACCAACGCTGGACAAACAATTCCATCAGAGGAGTTCACAGTGAGAGGCGGAATCCTTGTTTACTTCAAGTTTCTGACCAGAGGTGTGTGTCTCAGCCGCTCCTGACACACACACACTGACACCCACTGACACACTCTCTCTCATCCTATTAAACATTATAAATGTAGCCGAGAGTTTAATTCACCTGTACTGAAAGGTAATAGTATAATAAGGACATGAAGATTGTGGTTTGAAGCAGGACACGTTTAGTTTTTCAAAACTAGTCAATACATCGCTCCCATAACAACTTCCGTTGCAGACCCTTCAAAATAAAACTCCCACACAGATAGACAGCTTATGACAGGAAACACAAATTTAGTGACCAACCTTCCACAATAAGGCAACTAAATAAAATAGCTTACATAAATTACTTTTAAATAGATAAATGTTACACTACAAAAACTAACTGGATCAAGTTGAAGATATATATAAATATTTTAGTTCATGAGCTATGTTATTAGCTATATATTGCTTGTTGTGAGTCCTTTTTCTTCTATAGTATAAATAATCGTGAAAACCGTGAAGCCGTGATATTTCCTCAGACAATAATCGTGGCACCAGAATTTCATATTGTGACAACCCAATAAGGGACGAGCTATTGGACTGTGCTTATGCAAAACATAATCCCAGATTACACACCTTGTACAGTAGCTACCACTGTATTGTGGTTCATCTGAATCACAGATTACAAACAATTAATCGTCATTTCTCTGCACAGATTCTCAAGATGTAGTATGTTTTGCTGCCAAGTACATGTAAACTAGTTCCTGTTATGAGACTCACAATTCGCCAGTTTCTTTTGATGTAGTTCTTGAATGTAACAGCTGCACAAACGCGGATCACGTTGTCCAGGGACTTCTCCAACAGTGTGAGAAGAAATAAGGGGTAGTTCTGGTTCCCCTCCACAGACTCAAGAAACTTTTCAGCTAAGAAAGAAAGAAGACAAATGAAGTACAGGGTTTCAAGAGCAGGTGTTACACAGTCCAGTGAACATAAGCATAAATAGGTCCATGGGAACATCATTCCTTCTGAACTGTATTAAGACGTGCCCTGTCTTTGAGATGCATTACCTGGACGCCTGACTGTTGGGTCTGGGTCCAGTGTTTTCCTGAGGAACTCGGTGAGGGTTTGTAGGTTTGCATCATTCAGCTCCATGCTCGTGACTGAGGGGGTGGAAAAACAGTGAGTGGGGATATGGCTGCAAGTTGTTCAGTCAGCTCTGCCTTGCTCCCTCTGGTCAGACCACATTTAAATGCTTTGTAATACTGCACAAGAATAATGTCAAAAACGTGTCACTTGGTTTCCTACAACTTCACACCACAAACAGCGTGCGCCACATTTACTTATGAAACATTTCGTGTTGTGATTAAAACATCTCAGAGTTTTACTGCTCGGTCTAAAAAGTCAAAGCTGTTCCTTATAATACTTTTAGTCTTTCATACTGTGTTTAACGTTAGCTTGTTAGCAGCTATCATAGCTATCATGGCATTAGCAGCGTTGGCCCCGCTGACTCCAGATCGGTTTGAGCAGGCTAGCGAGTAAGCTAGCAAGCTAAAGGTTGTCTAGTCTATTTTAAGTTCAAATATGAGTGCATGGTTGTCGTGAACTGGTTGAACTGGACAGTATATAAAGTTTAGTTTGTACGGAGAAGAATATGTCTATAACTACATTGTCATGAACCGACAACATTATCTAATCGGGCATGGAGAGCATTAGCCCAGCTCCAGTCAATAGTCTGATCCAGCAGCGGATCTCGTCCAAGTCAGCCTGCTAATGTTAGCGCTAGCTTGCTAGTGAGCTCTGTGCTAACCACAAACTTAGCTAGTTACCCAACACTGCGCGTTAGCTCGCAAGATGCCGGACTGTGAGGGGTTCTAAAACTTTGAGTCAGTTGTGAGTAGAGGTGTTGACTTGCTGAAGTAATGGGGCGTCTTACCGTGACAGGGAGTTTGAGCCGGGATGTGATGGAGGAGGCGCCGCAGAACAGACGAGCTCACGGTGCCAGCAGCTTTCAAACGTCTGGAGTCAGAGGAACTGCGCGGTCACTGCACTGCGCATGCGCACATGTCAGGCGAAAGCTGCAAGACACGCCCCTTAGTTGTTCAGAAACTCCACGACGCAGAAGAAGCATGAGACTAAGATATCGTGAGGCGTCAGGAACAAGAAATGAATCTCACATAAAATGAATGCCATACTTTTAAAGTTAAAGGGGTTGGGGCTTGTTTTCTAAACCACATTCTTCTATCATGTAATAAGTCCATCATATTCTATCTTTATTATGAAACACTGTGATTCCAAAAACCCGGAGGTTCATGGTTCGAATCCCAGCTTGAATGGTTGTTTGTCTCTGTATGTTGGATCTATGAGATTATGACATTAACCAGGAACTCATCTTTGTAACTGCCCATGACGAATACATATATAATGTTCTTTCAGGATCACGTTTCAAGTTGGAAACTCTTGGGGGGGGCACACTAGGTCTCTATAGTTCTTACTCTTAACATTAATTAATCATTCCTTGTCACAGTTAAAAGTTATTAAACCCATAGATTGTTCAATTGATGCATCTCAAACACCATACAGCAGATCCAAATAAGTGAACACAACCAAACTGAACTGTTCACATTTTAATCGTGAAAGCATGAAGGCATTCATCACAGAATGACAGTCTTAACATCATGTACTTAGAACAGTATATCTGAAATGTAAAACAGAAAGAGCAACAGCTTCAACACAGAAAGTAGCTTACACAAATACAAACACATTTCTTTAAATGACAATACAAAGTGAACACTTTTAGCGAGCTTTAACCCTCTTCCTGTCTCACAGGTTTGGGGACAGAGGCTCATAGTGCGGGCATGCTACAGGTTGTGCGTCTGACGAACGTTCAGGGTGTCTCGCAGCATCAGGTCACGGAGTCGCCAAAGGGCATCTGCCATTGTCTTGTGGGCGCCCTTGCTCTTCAGCCAGTGGGACGGTAGTCTGCTTTCCTGCTCTTTTGTCAGACGTACATCTTGTTTTTGAGCTGAAAGTGAGTAAATAAGATTAACATTGAAATTTCATTTGTTTACAATCAATTACCTTCTAAATAACTTGTCAACAACTAGAATGGCATGCATACCTCTGCCAAGGCCAGATAGTTCCCTTAAATTCAATCAAGCTGTACAAAATTTCACTTACTAATAGATTTATTACCTAAAATAGTCCCCTAAACATGCTTGATTTTTTAAAATTAAGATCCATTATGTATTCCCATAAAAATGTAATATTAAGGAGAGTTATTTAAAAATTCCTGGATCTTTTTCTCGATCTAAGCAAAAATGTAATGACTTCTTCCCTGAGCCATACCTCATCTTTCCACCAAGCTTTGAGGTTATCCATCCAGTAGATTTAACGTGATTTTGCTTACAAAACAAACCAATCAACAAACAAAAGGACAGGGGTGAAAACATAACTTCCTCCTCAGCGAAGGTAATGTAGTGAAAATAAAACTGACTTAGTGTGTAAAAAAAAAGAACATTCCAATGTATGCGTTTTGGTCTTTAAGGAGTCCATTACACACAGGTATAACCAAAGAATTAAAAATTGATGCTCACGTTACTTGACTGGACAAACTTGACCCAGAAATACGTACATCTCCAGCTATGTCATCATTGCACCATATAGATTTTGTCACTTGCCAAGTACAAAATTACCTGAGAGGGCTTGGTCCCACTTGCTAATGGTGGAGGATTCTGCAGTGAGGCCCTCAATGTATCTGAGGTACGCTTCAGAGTGAAGCAGCCGCTGAGACTTGGCTGGTGGGGACACAAACATTGGGGTGGACGGTTGCTGGAGTGCAGGTTGTCCCATCTGGCCTTGTCCTGGATATGGTGGTGGAGCCTGCTGCCCTGAGCCTATCAAACCCATCTAATGGAAATAATACATGTTATTTCCCTCAATCAGACTGGAGTTTACACTGCATGGTGTCTCCACCAGTAACTTGATTTACATGCAGCTGTGGTTTGAGTTCAAAACTTGTCACATCATGGTTGTGTATGGTCTGTGGTTTAGCGCTTTGAGCACCAGGTTTGCATTGTATGTAACTGCTCCAGATTTGAAAAACTAGACAATGGATGTAAAACAACTGAAACTGGATTTTCACTTTCAACATAATTTGCAATCTTGTTGAGCCTAGTAGCTTACCTGGGATCCATGAATGTTTCCATGTCCACCCATACCATTGACACCTGTGGCAATATTCAACATGGAGACATAGTCAAAAAGGTGCAGCAGGTCATTTGATACTGGTTTATATTACAAATACACCATTAAAGTGCAATGCTAATCTACATTAAAACAATTAGGAATGCCAATTGTGGATTTATTAATTGAAATATGAGGTTAACCGGTTTCCTCATTGGAGACTGAATTTTTTTCAATGACACATAACCAACAGGCCTTTACTTGTAATGACCTGGACAAGTAACCAAACCCCAGTTGATGCTATATGCTCTCAACGCAGCAGTCACCCCCTTTCGGACCTCAGCCTATTGGTTCAGGTATCCCCTCCAGCAAGTCAGATTGGTAGACAGGAAGCAACTGTGTGGCAGGTGGGGTGGCTATGACAGCACTCTTATCAAAGTACAGCATTCCATTTAACCCAGGCATAATGGACAGAGATGTCGGGGAAAGACAGCCCCCCATGTGATGTGGTAGTATGCCAGTCAAACTAACCATGCCTTCAACATGGCCCTGCAGGGGCATCAAAGCTGACCTAAATGCCCCTATCACACGCTTTTAGGAAGGGACAACACAAACACAACACCACAACATGCATCAGTCAAGCATGCATTAACAGGTTAATATACTGTTTATGCTTTAACTGAATCACCAGATAATTATGATGGAGATTAATGGTAATAAATGCCACACAGAAGAAAATTGCACAATGAAAACAATTTGGTGCACATGCAGAAGCATTAATCATTTTTTGGTTTAAATCCACAAATGGTTAAAAGCAACCATTCCACTTTATATTATGCATTCAGATAATGACACATGGAGTATATTATGATGTTAAAAAACAATCAGGATTTGATTTAATAAATTGTGCAAAATGATGTTAGAGAAAAAACAACATTGCAAAATCACAAACATGCTGACATGGGTGAGATTAGGAAACTAGAAAAGGTGAATAAATCAAGCAGTATAGCTTCTTATCCAGCCTTCTAGGGTACACTGGGGGTCCATCTGCATCCATGAGGGGTTACCTGACACAAGCGTCATGCTGGGATTTAGCATCCCCATGGTGATTGGGGGAGGCACCACCCCCATCAGTGCCCCTACTGGGGTACCTGCTCTAGGGGACGTCTGATGATGGGCCCTGTCACGCTCCTGCTGCTCGGCCACTTTAGCTGCTCGCTCTGCAACACAGGTTTGATATTTAAACATTGTAGTCTTTACAAAAACTGAATCACGACTTGAACTGATCAGTATGTCTGTTAAGAGTTAGTGAAAGTTCGTCTAACCTTCATACTCTGCTTTCCTGGAACTCTCAAGGTTCCTCCACTCTGTGCCAACAAGGCGGCTCAGCTCCCCGAAGGAGAAGTCTGGGTGCTGGGCTTTGATGACCGCTCGCATCTCACTGCTGAACAGGATGTAACCGCTCATGTTGATCTTCCGCTTTGAGCCCTCCTTCTTTGAAAGACCTTTCATGGATTTTGGTGTAGACTGAAAAGAAAAACACAGAAGCCATTTAGAAAACAATACCAGAAACCATACTGACTTATCAGGAGGCAGTAGCGCAGTCCATAGTGACTTGGCTTGGGAACCGGTGGGTGGCCGGTTCAAGTCCAGCATGGACGGAAGTTGGAGAGGTGCTAGTGGGCACCGAACCCCCCAATTGCTCCCGGGGCGCTCTGGGTTAAATACAGAGGTCAAATTTCCCCATGTTTGCATGCTGTGTGTGGGACCAAAAACAGGAATCTTATCTTTAGGCAGAATTTTCAATCTGTAATGAAATTACAATCCGCCCTGACCTGTGGAGGAGTGTAAGGCATGATATCCATTTCACTAGACAAGGAAGATTGCATCTGAGGAAGAGACTGGTCCCCTAGCTCGCCATCATCATCACCAAGATCCTCCAGCTCCTCATCGGTCATGTCAGCAAACTTAGCCTCCAGTTCCTCTATTTTCTTGTCCAGCAGAGGTGATGGCTCCTTCTGGGGCACGATGAGCTTTCTGTATAAGATAATCAAAATTATTAAGAACAATTTATCAAAAAAATCACCCAAGAAATCCCTTCAGAGAAACAGGAAAAATTGTCACAGTGCATCACAAAAAAGAGGAAATTGCACCCATCCATCAGAGGAGGACAAATGTGTCTTAAGTGCATGTTTACTTAACAGTCCTTTTCAAGTTTATTGTCTTTTTCTTTCCACCTTCCATGTGTGACACACACATTTGATGTACAGGTTGTTCACCTAAAATAGTAGATTTCATCCTCCACCACCTTCCCAGAGAGTGAAAAGCGCTTGAGCCCCTTAAATTTCTTCATCTGCTTCTCACAGTCGATGTAGCGGCTCTCACAAAGCAACACGTTCTCTTCAGGTACTTCAGTTGGCCGGCATGACAGGTAGTCTTTGAAGGATGACACTATACACTTTCCTATGAAACAAAACAATACAACGCAAATCCATGAACTCCTACCATGACACAGTATTCTGTGAATATCCGTTTGTGGTATTCAGTTCAACCTAATATAATGCGCGGAGGCTACCTATGATGCAAGTCATGGGACAAGTCTCCTCCAGGTTGCTAAGGAACACTTCCTTTTTGTAGAACATCTTAGTGGGCTCATGCTCGGTTTCTTCTGGATGAATGAAAATGGGACCAAAGAAGTAGCCGGCTCCATCGCGCATCCACATTTTCTCAATCCTGTTCAATAAATTAATAAAAGTTTTATTAGATACAATTGAAATGAGATAACCTCCGTATATTTGCACACACTGAAATTATAAACTTCTTATATTTGTGATTGATGAGAAGGTGTTTTCATTAGTGTGTTTAAATAGCATTTATTATTTTAATTGAGAAATGTGCTTTTATATATTTATTATAATTTGAACAAATAGTCAACATTCATCAAGTCTAACCTTAATGTTTTCATCCACTTCAGAGGACAACAACCATTGTGATACACTGGAAGCACCGTGAAGCATAAAGGCATTAACTCTACCTGCCCACCCGGTGGCGCACTAGTCCATGAGATCCTATGTAGATGCAGTCTCCCACTTTGAGCCAGAGGTTGTTGTAGCAGAGCTGCTCATAGTACTGACACCCTGGCTCCCCATTGCTCATATCCATTGTAACATCCTCCCTCTCCTGCAGAAACAAAATTGTTTTACTAACAGTATCCTGCAATTTTGAGTGTATTCATTTATATCGAAATAACCTACTGGCAGATATACCTTGTCTACAACACCATCCATCATTTTGCTTTCATCAGCAATCTCTGTTGGTTTCTCCTCTTGTTTGAGGGCAAACATGGACGCCACACGGACTACAGGGAGGGGTACCTCTCTAGGAACAAACCGAACAGAGCTCAGGGGCATCGTCCACATCTTGATCTTCTTGAAGGACTTGGATTTGGCAGAGTAGCGCGACTCACAAACATACACATCCTCTCTCCTGAAGCCTTCTGGGTGAAGTTTGAAGTACTCCTAAAACACACTCCATTAATATTTGGTCAGCATTCACACCACATCCCAAACAAACATAGAGGAAAAAAATCAAGCATTTACCTTCACAAACATGACCACACACTTGCCCAGAATCTTGCTAAGCGGAGCCTTGTTGTAATAGTCGCTCTTAAAGACTTCCTTCTCCAAGAACTTTCTAGTAGCAAGATGAAATGTTTCGTTTGGCCTGTAGAACCAGCAGCCATACAGCCACTTCTCACCTGCATTTGTCAGAGACGGAAAAAACGTACTGAAGATATTGTACATGGAAAAACAAATCTGCAGAATATAAAGAATACTGATTTTCTTATAAAAATTGATTAATTTATGATTCACACGAGGAACTGACCAGTGTCATCCTGCCACAGGCGTTCAATGTAGATGATATGGGGCTGGAGGTTGGGCTCTGCAGGCTCCACATACACATAGTCTCCCACATGGTACATACTGTCCTTAAAGCTGCAGTCCTGACTGTACGTGCGCTGCAGGTTTGACTGCCATGATCCGCCAACAGAGTCCTCCCTCTTCTCCGCTTCTAGGAATTCACAAAATACCCAGTGAAACAAGGCCCAAGTTTCAGCTGACACAAAGCATGATGGGATAGAATTTCTATGCACTGAGAACTTAAACAAATATTCAACTGCTTACCCCTTTTTTCTTCTTCCCTCTTGATTTTGTCCTCCTCGAACTCCTTGGGTAACTTCTCTTTCTTCTCCTTTTCCACATCACTGTGCAGATGTTTGGAGGTGTAGCTGAGAGCAGGAGACATTAAGATCTCTCCATTCTTACACAGCTCATCTCTGATGCGGATTAGGAACTGCTGCAGCTCCACAGCATCTTCAAAGATCTCAGAGTCGGTCCTGTAATGAACAAAATGTTTAACAATACGTTTATTTTTCATTTAATATAATCATTTTGCAATATTAATGCTCCAAGGTGATCCAGTGACTGGTTCTGTTTTACACATGATGGTCAACAGTGCCTCACCTATTCAATCGTCTGGCTTTTTCCAACACTTCAAACATGTGATCCTGAAACACGTCCAACCTCTTGTAACGCCCTCTGTCTACATTCTTCCTGATGATATCAAAATTGAGTAGTGGCTTCTCAGGGTTTACCGGATCAAGGGCGGGAATCTCAGCAAGTGAATCACTGTAGCATCGGCCCTCGTCGTCCTGGTGACTGAGCACAGAAACAAAGAGGCTGCGGATAAGTTCCTGGATGAGTCTTGGCACATCAGGCACGTGGGCATCCTCTCCACCCTCCAGGTCACGCCTCGTCTCTAACAGCACCCTGTGCAGCACCAGAGCGTCGCGGTAAATCAGAGATTCTGGTTCGTTGTAAGTACAGGCGTTGTTGAACATGAGCACCAAGTCCTCTACCAGCGCGTCTACATCTTGGTACTTATTAGCCAACATGTGGCTCTTGATCTTCTCCATGTCCACAGGTTTCTTGATGGCTATGTAGTAATCAGGGAGCTCGGCACGAGATGGCAGCCGCAGGAAGATGGTGCTGAGACGACGGCCCCGCTTATCGGTGTAGTTCTTCACAGCCTCATAAAGCTCATTCAGCTTTTGCTGTAAGGGTGTTAGATACTTGGACTTCTTCAAAGTAATACTATTCTTTCCTACAATCAGATAAAATGTGTTTTATATAATTTGTAACCATCATTTCTGTTTTCATTTGCTTGGATATGATTCATATGAAGAAAAACTGGGTGACTAAGTGACTTACTTATTTTCAACTTTGGAGACATTATGTCATCGTCATCAGTCGCTGGCCCAAGATCCCTACGTCTGTCTTTCATAATCTTCTCTAAGATGTCAGCATCATTGTAGACCTTCAACACAACAGAGAGATCTTCATTCATCAGATGATCATTAGGAGACCCTGGTTTTTGTAAAAGATTGTCGTGGACATTAACGTTCTTACATACAGGCTCTCTGGATAATTTCAGGAGATTAAGTCAGTGTATGTCTGAAAGCAGCTTTACAACATAGGGTTTCCATCCATCTTTGCACCAGTCTATCTAATCCACTCAGGAACATTAAGGATTGAAAAACTCAAGCTTACCTGGGAGCCTTCCTCATTGTAGTGCCGTGCATTGCGGAACATCAGCTTCATATCTTCCACCATTGAATCTTCAGTCATGTACTTGTCTGAGCGAATGTTGTGCTCGATGGTCCTGAGGTCCATTGGTTCCAGGATGACCTTGTAATAGTCGGGGTAGTCCTTTTTCGAGGGCTTGAACATGAAAAGGTCACACAGCCTTCGACCAGTGCTGGCTTCTCTCGCTTCAGTCACCACGGCAAAGAGAGCTTTCATTCGGTTTTTCTTTGTATTCTTCTTGTGACTGGAAATGAAATGAAAGTCAGCTTCCTTCACACAAACACAAAAATCAATTCAATACAGTGAGTTTAGAAAGTAAAATGTGATAAAGTGCACCTTTTTCTTTTTGTACTACTGGTGTCAGACGTGGCAGAGGAGAGCATGCTGTCTCCATCATCATCATCTCTCTGTAAAAGTTCCTTTCTCTTCATCTAGACAAACAACAAATAACATGTAGCTCAAATGGTTACAATGCTTGTGAAAATGGTTCTTGAGAACATGCACACAAAACCAAGATTTCTCAGCAAGTGCATAAATAAAATCGAGCAAAGATGCACAACAGCGACAAGGGGAAGTTGGGACTGACCTGCTGGATGTGCTGGAGCTTGAGCGCACGCTTGTAGATGGAGGAGTGAGGGACATTGTAACGTTTGGCGTTCTCGAACATGAGCGTCACGTCAGAGTCAATGTGCTCCACGCTTTCATATTCATTGTTCTTCATCTTGTTCCTGTGGGGAGTGACGGGCTCTCACATTTGGGAAGGAGGGCACAGAAATACTGTACTGAACAGTGAATGTGTGTGATGCCGTAGGGGTAGAAAATAAAAAAAGAGAGAATGTTGGTGAAAGAAAAGAAATCGAATCAATGATGAAAACATGAATAACCCTTTCAACCGAAATATCAATAGTAAAGCACCAAAAACTACTTGATGTGACATGTTTAATGTTTCCGGCAGATAAAAAGAAGATCTAAGACGGAATGCTGCATTTGCTTATTAATCTTGAGAACATTTTTTAAGATGTAAACCCAAATACACTATAGTGCTATATTCTACTATGCAAAGAAAATCACACAATGGTTGTAAAATATTATTTAGGACTTGTTACTAAATAAAGCAACATCTCATATAAATAGATGTTAAACCCATGAGTCAATACAATCATTTCTCAGAGGCTCATTTGCTAAACCTTTCCCTTGGGCAGTTCCTTTAAGGTCGACAACAAATAATCTACTAAAGTGTAAAAAATATATGAAAACATATGACCGTGTTAATAATGCTGTAGTTAATGATACCACACAAATACACAAGAATGTTGAAAATTAAACATGTGACAAATATACACATAGATTCATGACAGGTCTCTTAGTGTCATACTTGATCTGGTGGAGACAAATGGGTTGGCTGATCTGGTGGTAGTAGTCCGGGTAGTCCTTCCTGGAGGGCAGCTGCAGGAAGGGTTCAGAGATCAGTTGACCCTGGCTGTTCCTCGCACCTCGCACAGCTTCATACAGCTGGAAGATCGGGTTACTCATGTCCATGTTAGAGGTCATACTCTCGGCCTCAGACTCCCCCTCATCATAGTGAACAGACCCTGAGAAACACGGAAAGTAGGACACATCTGTCACATTGCAGCAACGCCTCACTGTACAAAGTATTGTAACCATGTTTGATATTGAGATTAAAGATGTACCAGAGAGAATGCCTTCCTCATCACTTTCATACTGAAGAGCCATGGTGATAGCTGAGAGACGGTCTCCTTGGGCTGTCCTTCTATTCCTGAGGACGAGTGACAGCATTACAAAAAATATATATATATCCATATTTTCTTACTTTCTTCCACATTACTGCCAGTGCTTTTTCCTATTTACCTGATGCGAATGCTGGACTTGATTGGTTCTCCATGTTCCATCTCAGACTTCTTTTGTGCAAAAATCTTTTTAATGGTGTTTGCATCCTGGAACATAAGAGTACGTCATAAAGGTCTGTTTCAAATGCATCATATGTACTGTAAAATATATTAACTTACACACTCACCTTAAACACCTGTGACCCAGGCTCATTATAAGTTTTGGCATTCTTCACCAGCAAATCGATGTCTTTAGCCATGACACTGACACTCCTGTAGTTACCCAACTAACAGCAAATACACCTTTTTAACATTTCATCAACAAAATGTTGTAATATGGGGGAAAATAAAAATGTTATTTAAGATACCTGAATTTTTTGAGCGATGATTTTCAGATCAATTGGTTCCTTGATGATGGCATAATAATCTGGGTATTGCTGAATGAAAAAGGGAAACAACACATCAAAACCAAGTCGCCCATTTCACTGATGGTGTCATACGGAATGTGTTTGTACCATTTTGGAGGGAAGCTTCTGGAACAGCTCGCTGACCAGACGTCCAGTAGGCTCAGTGTAAGACACCACGGTGTCAAGGAGCTGCTCGAGGACCTCTTTCAAACAGGTAGGTGCACTCTGTCATATGTATTCACACAGGTCAGACAAGGAAACACAGTACCATCCTCAGTCACACACTTACGAAGTATACACTGACAAACCACCAAAATTAGCGGTCAGCATAGTTTTACATAATGTCCCCTCAAAATAAACCACTTATATTAAACAAAATAAAAAATGGAGTTCATTATAATTCACTTATACATGTTGACAAAACACAAGAGAGATAAGTGTTATTACCATGGTATAAAGTCAGTGTACAATGTTAAGCTTTCATCCCACTTTGAATAAACAAATTACTTATATATTACTATGCAAATGAATGTAGCAAGGTGCACACTGCACATTGATGGATCTTATTTGCAGTATGAACTAAATGAAATCCTAACAAATGAAAATAAATGTCACCTCATCCTCAGTGGTCCCTGCTGGGTTGTCTTGTGCGTCGTACCCATCATCATCATCATCATCATAATCCCCTCTCTGAACAAATTCATTCTTGGTCCGCAGGTAGAGGTCCCACAGCTTACAGGCTGCCCTGTACTCAGGACTGTCAGACTACACACAAGCAATACGCAGTATATTCATTTAGGTGCATATCCTAAGTCATGTACAAATGCTAAATAGCTGTATG